CTCTCTCTCTCTCTCTCTCTCTCTCTCTCTCTCGCTCTCTCTCTCTCTCTAACACGAACAACATTCGCGAAAGAACCAAGAGAAAATTAACCAAATTAATATGGAGGTGCGCAGTGGGGAAAGGATCCGCTTGATTATTAACGGGGCCGATAGAAGCGAAAAGGATGGAATCGGAAAGGATTACTCCACTTTTACTCTGACACACACACACACACACACACACACACACACACACACACACACACACACACACAGAGACAGACAGACAGACAGACAGACAGACATACACAGACACGTACGGAAGCCGGACTTGGTAAATGAAAATTAACGAAATCGAGTTAAAGAGGCGGTCAGGAGGCGGCCGTTTTAACGTCAATTGCGGAGTTAATAGAAGATCGTACGGGTAAGGGTTACCTCACTCCGACGTACATACACGCACACATACATGTAGACACACGTACTTTCGAGGCCAAGAGGATGACGCAAACCTCTCTGTCTCTTCTTTACCCCCGCATGAAACCGATCAGGATCGGGCCAGAGCGATACGGACGAGGCGATGGCGACGGCAGCTCTTCTGCGGAACAAACCGAGTCCGGGTTCCACGACCCTGGAGGACGTACTTGACTCCCTCCTGGGGCTGCCACCCGCGTCGCGTACCCCGAGTCCTGGCCCAGGACCCGTCGTGACCGCTACGTCCATCCGCCATCGTACGAACGTCGGCCAGGCGAAAGCCGGGAAGAGCTGCAGCGACCTACGCCAAGACCTCCAAGGTAGGAGGACTATGTAAGTTTTCGTTCTGAGGCAGATCCTACCAAGGACGATCTCTATCTCTCTCTCTTTCTCTCTCTTTCTCTCTATTTCTCTTTCCACCGTATCCTTATCGTAACCCTGAAGAGGAGCCGACGTGCGCGTCCGGGGTGTCACGGTGGATCCACGCCAGCGACGGAAATTCGATCTCGAAGAGGCCTCGGGAGAGTTCCTTTTGCTAAAATAGATTCATTCCTCTTGATTTCTACTTGAGATTCTGTTCATTTTTACGTACACACTCGTGTTCCTTCCTTTTCCCCTTCTTTTTGAATCAATGTCACTCGAAACGCGCCACCGGGGTGGTACGTCCGCTTCAGGATTCACCACGACGCGCACGGCCGGGTCACTGCGTAATTCCGCTGTTTTGCGGCGCGAAAACTTGCGTTTCTCTTCGCCTCGTCGTTACTCGTCGCCACTCACCAACTGTCATCGCGCGATGATTCGACAGGCGCGATCGTTGCAGCGAGAGAGAACTCGGGATAAGATCGCGCTTTCCACACGTGTTCTCATTTACTCACACACACATATATCCTCGCACCCATCGCATTGGCGCGTCGAAGGGCACCGAGAGAAGAGCACGTAGGGTTTCCCCCTCTCTCTCTCTCTCTCTCTCTCTCTCTCTCTCTCTCTCTCTTATTTCGCTTGGCTGGAAAGTACCACCGAGCGAGACGAAAACGAGACGTCATTCGGCTTTTTTATTCTGAAAAGATCCGGTGGAGCCCCCTTCCCTCCTCCCCCCTGTAAATCTCGAGCAAGACTCGATCGAGTCGACCTTGCGTATCGTGGTACCCCGTACGCCAGACAAAGAGAACCGTCCACACTGACACACGGCACAAGGAAGAGGGAGACACATAATGAATGCGTGTCCCGCGCTGTCACCTGCTGTCGATGCGCCCACTCATGTACTTTTGCACCTTTGCAGAGGCGAGCCTAAGGGCGTGTAATGCTCGCGGGTTCGTACCCACCCCCGAGCCCGAGGACGAGTTTAGCCGTGGCCGGCCGCCGCAGCCGCTCGCTGCTTATTGCGCGAATGATTAGGAGCGAAATTAATAACACGAGCTGAGACGGAGATCGTAAGACAACAATCATCACCAAGACTCTCGACACTCTCTCTCTCTCTATCTCTCATTTTTTTCTGTATCTTTTTCTCCCTCTTTCCCTTTCTCTGGATGTGGTCCCTTTTTAGCAGCGCTTTCTACACACATTCTCTCTTTATCTCTCTCTTTCTCTCGCGTGATCCCTCTGGATTTTCACCGAATTCGATCGGGGATTTTAACATCGCGGTGTTGATCCGATGAATCGGTGGGAGGGGTAACACGAGATCTCATGTTCAACGTCTTAGATAACACGCGGGTTTCACTCTACGAGAGCGTGAAGGAAGTGCAGCTGAAGAGTCTTGCGGATCCGCTTCTGGTTCTGTGCACGATCAAGCTTGACAGCACGTGAGTGAGGGGCCAACACCGGGGCCGTCACCGTCGGTTCGCTCGGTTGCGCGGACCTGCGCGGCTGGGCCCCCTCATTTTTACACTGTTCAAATACGCTTCTGCCACCTGTGTGGTCTGTTATCATCGTCGAGACACCGTTCGCTCAATAGTCAAACGACGTACTTGCCCGATGCCTATGTCGCACGACGGCGAACTCCCCGCTCGGGAGATTAGATAAACGCGACAGCTCCGTCCTGTTTGCACTCATCCTCGTCGAAGTTGACGAAACGAGGCTCCGTAATTTCGAAGCTCGGCATATTCCTCCTCTTTTTAGATTAGACCTCGATTCGCTTCCATTGTCTGTCTCTCTCTTTCTCTCTCTGTCTTTCCCTCTCTTTCTCTCAGTCACTCACTCACACTCTCTGTCTCTTCTTCTCTATCTATCTATCTATCTGTCTCTGTTTAGTCGGCTTTCTCGTTCTTCCCTTCGATTTGATTTCTCATTCTCTAATTTGATTTGCTTCAGTATTTTAGTTTTCCCGGACCGTCGCTCGAAGTGCCGAGTCGAGTCACCGAAAAGCTCACGCGTTTAACGCGCGGGGAGACGCGCGAATTAAACGGGAAAGAAGAACGATTTGCAATGTTACGACGAGGATTAACACGTTGATTTTCCGTTCCGACAAAATCTTAACTGACGGCCGAGTTTACCAAGGACACGGTAAATAAGTGTAATTCTCAGGAGGCATACGTACCTTTTCTCTCATCTAGCTTCATCAGTTCTCTCGATCAGCAACGTACCGGTCGACCCTTTCAAATGCACTTGAGACGCGGTAGTATTGTCACAGCACCGGTCACCGTCATGGCATTCAACGTGTTAACGAACGCGTCGTTGAAGAACACGTCACACACACGTATACACACACGTACACGCCGATGTCGCTGTCATCATCACGCTCTCATACGGCTTTGCTTAGGATGACCGTCGCCAAGCTCCGATTAAACCGATTGATGATTAATCGGGAGGATTGCCAACGGCAAAAAGCTACGTGTAATTCGTCGATCAACGTCGATAAACAAAGAAATCGATAATTTTATACATGTAAACGACAAATGTGGAGGAGTCAGATACTTAACTGACAGCAATGTTGCGCGTAGTTTATGCAAAGAACGAAGAAAATTTTCGCTCTAGCAACAGACCGTCTTTTATCTTCCAGGCGGCTCTGCCGGCTGAGTTAAACGTCCTAATTAGCTTAATCAGAGTTTGGAGAAGGTCACCCTTACGATGTCGCCACACGTCATTGTGCTTAACGCGTTCTTCGCGCTGGCTCTCGGCGACTACGACGGAGGGAGGCGAGAACGATTCGGCGTCCTCTTGTTTCTGATATTATCTTCGCCGAATCACTCGTGTTTGCCATTACTCGACGACGTCGTTTCGCATCGATCATCAACCATGTGTCATCGCCGTCCTCACCCACCTCGACATTTTTACACTCCTCCCGGACCAAAACTCGAGTCACTCGATTACTCATCTTCCGACATCCTCTTCATCATCCTCATCTTTCTTGTCGATATCACACATCTCCCAAGACTCGATTCACTCGTTCTTCAATATCTTCCCTCATCTTCCTCGACGCCGTCACGCTCTTCCAAAGCCAAGACTCGAACCACGCGTCCTACAACACGCTTCTTGCTGGACACCGTCACTTTCCCAGAACCAAATCGACTCATTCTCATGCTTCCTCATCATCTCTGATCCTCCTCGATATCGTAACGTTCGAATCTCTCGTTCTCCGTCACCCTCCCTCATCGTCCTCCCGATGAGCCAATCCCACCTCTACTGACGACGACACCTCGGCCTGACCTGTCGCAGAGTCCGCTAGGAGCGTGATGGACGTGCAGGCGGCGGTCGAGGAGCGCACTTTCTACCCGGGCGAGCTGGTGAGGCGGAAGAGCGAGGGTAGCGATACCTTACCCTCCCGTCCATCGGCATCGGCGCCGCGGCCCGCCGCCGGTGGTAGCGTCCAACGTCACCGCAGGGTCTCCTTCGACAATGCGCAGGACTCGACGAACGGCAGCTCGGCGGACAAGGTGGTGCGCTGTCGCAACAACAAGTGCGGCAACTCGACGACCTTGGCGGAGGCTCGGCGTACCTACAAGAGCTGCCACAACTGCACCTGCCTGTACTGCTCGCGCGAGTGCCGGCGGGCCCACTGGCAGCGTCACCGCAGGACCTGCCTGCACTCGCGCGCCGGCAGCCTCTGCCGGCAGGTGTTGTCCTCGGCGAAGGAGGACCCGGCGACGCTGAAGCACATCTCCGCGCTCGCCCGACGCGGCCACGCCGCCCAAGGCCGCGGCGCGGTCAAATGCTTCTTCTCCAGCCCGGAGGCCGCGGAGCGGTTCGTCGGGAACGGGTTCGCCGACCTCGGCGAGCCCACCTACGTGCGCTGGTCGGACCTCCTGCCAGGCGAGATGGGCGCCGAGCTCTACGCCGAGCTGATGCGCCTCTGCAAGACGTACAATCCGGAGGCAAGGCTGGTGCTCTACGTGGCGGTGTGCGTGGTGAGCGAGGTGCCGACCAGCGGCGCCGTCAGATGGGAGCGCCAGCTGGTGTCCAGGTGCGCGAAGATCAGGCTGGACGGTGCGGCGAAGCAGCACGCCTCCTCGTCGTCGACGTCGCCGCAGGCCAGACGGCAGCAGCAGCAGCAGCCCGCGTCACCCTGCAACATCACCCGCGAGATGGACTCGCCCGAGACCCTGGTGCTCACCTCGTTGCCGGGCAACAACGGTCAGAACACGCCGCGGAAGGCGCGCGAGATCAGCTTCACCAACATCCAACGGCAGCTGAGGCTGCGCGGGGTCTCCCTGAGGCGGCATTTCCCTCAGGTCTACCGGAAGCTCTGCTCCTACGTGGACGGCTCGGTGGACAAGTTCGCGCCGGTCACCATCTACCCGAGGGATCAAGCCTCCGGCAAGAGTTTCATGTGCATCATCATGCTGGACGCGGAGCCCGAGCGGCTGCAGCTCTTGCCGACCGACTCGTCCCGGGTGAGGACGGTGGACATCAGCGTGGAGCAGGAGTGAAGGGCGAGCAGGCGTCAGCAACTTCGTCGGGGCTTGATCGACACGTCGCTCAGGATTTTCCTCAGGTTCTCGGGCGAGAAGGGAAGAAGCGCCGACGTCGATGACGGGCTCTCTGTCGCGGACACGAGGCTAGCCGGGCGACGCGAAGGTCCCGGGGACGTTTCGACTTTTGAGGCTGTCCCTTGACGGTCGCGTTCTCGAGGGGTGTTTCGAAGGGCCCCGAGAGGACGTCGTAACTCGCTGCGGAAAACAAACGGTAATCCTGACCACTCGTTACTTCCCAGTCGAGTGACGTATCAAAGACGGTACCGACGACGTCTCGCGGACGTCGTTGTTACACGATGAACAAATTCCGTGTAAATGACGGCCCACTGAAATCGTCGTGTTTCGTTTCGACTAGGTGAATACGTCGATTCGACATATATTAGTGTACTTTTCGACATATTCCCACGTCGTACGTGACACGGAAATTTCAGTGTTTCAGTTTTTTATACAGATTTTTTCACTATGTGCGTCACAATGTTTGCTGGGTTCTCTCGAGCAACGGCAGGACGGTGACGGGTTATTTTTCCAGAGTGGCCGACGGTAGTCGAGAGTTAGTTTCTCCGATGGGTAACGGGCAACGAGTCGCTTTTAAAAATGTAACCTTCCGAAGCGCGCATTTTTCCGTCGAATTTTTACGTTGGAGGACAAACCTCGGGGGACACACGCGTAAAGAAAGACTGAGCCGGCCACGTCGCCGCGCTGTAAACGGGCCGGAGCGCCCGGAAACACGCTTGTACAAAGATACTCGTAACTTTGTTAATTTTTATTAATTATCTTAAGGACACACGCGCTATCTTTGTCTATCTATCTGTCTGTCTATCTCTCTCTNCCCGCCGCAACAATCAAGGAATTCGGTTTCCCGGGACATGTTTTCACCGAACCCTTTCGTCCTTCGGACCTTCGCGTCGCTCGGGAACGACTGGATTCGGACTGGAAGGACGGCCGACGAGAGAGTCCCCAGGTAGATCTAGAGGAAGAGCGTGGCATCTGATGCCGGCTCCGGGACGCGTGATTTCACATATACACACAAAGACTGTTTCTATCTCTCCTTCTAGAGAAAAAATGAAAAAGAAAAAAAGAATGAATATATATATATATATATATATTCATATATACATATATATATATATATATATATATATATATATATCGAACGCGAGGAACGAAGTACTCGTACGTACGCACTTTCTTTTCTGCGATCATCCTTACGTAATCAGTCAACGCGATCAACCAAGCAACCCTCTGTCGTTTCGGAAGTCCTCGATTTGATCGTTGCTATGTATGAAATGTTTATTGATCGTTCGCCGAGGATCTCCTCGAAGAGGTCCCCGTAGATCGTGCAATCCTTTCGGTCCTCTCTCTCTCTCTCTCTCTCTCTCTCTCTCTCTCTCTCTCTATTTCTCTCTCGTAATGAAAATGTTGATTCCAATTAAAAAAATCGATGAATCAAACTCTGTAGAGGCGATAATTGAAAATTAAACGAACAGTTAACTTTGTTTCTCAGATTTTTTATTAAAAAAAAGCGCGTGCCGAAATTTACTTCGAACGAATTTGAGAAATTACGGCGAACCGTTTGCGATTTGATTCAATATTACTCGTTGGGGATGATTGAATTCATTTTATTAAGAATAACGAGATATCGATGCGATTTCGATTGAAAGTCATATCGGCAATCCCCTGCTCCTCCCTCCGTTTTCTCTTGGCGGCGGTGACCGAAGGGGTTAACGACGATCACGGGAGTCTTCATTCCCGGCGGACGGAACGGAAAGTAACACTTAGAGTACGTTGTTGTCTCTTCGTTCAACTTTGCATCGTTTAAATTTTATCGTATATATATATTATATGTGAGGAAGCGAGACGTCTCTCGGCTGATATATTCACGATTAACGTACTCGCTGCAGAGTTTCGCTTGGACGCCGCAATAACGAAGGCGATTTCGGAGAGAAGAAGAAGGAAACGGGGAAAAAGAAGACGGAAAGCTAGGCGCTTCTCGCGGTACACGGACATTTGTTTTCGAGCGGAAATCGCGCTCGAAATGCGCTCGAGTTCGTTGAACGGAAGATTAATTCACAGTTCCACACTCAGAGAAATGACTTGGTATTAGCAGCTGGATCTCATCAGTTAATTCAAACTTTGCCGTCAACGCTAAAAGTTGGTTATTAAGAGGTGAAATGTATTTGCTGCGAGGTACAACTGAAGAAATGAGTAGCTAAGGTTGGTTAGCTGTGCTCTATTTCTCTTTGGTTACACGATGTATAGACAATACAAGACACATTTATATCAATTAACGAATTGATATAATATCTAAGGTGTGATTAATCGGTGATCCAGAGCTTTGAGCTCGAATTCGAATCAAGTGTTTAAATATGCTTTTCGGATATGGTATTAAATCAAGTAAGTGGCTAAATTTTAGGCAAAATCAGCATATGTTAACACCTTAAGGGAGACAAGTTTAAGGACAGGACTTTAAACTTCTGTGAGAAATCAAAGCAATAAATCTCTAGCGGGGAATGTGAATATAATTTTAATACTATAGTGTGATCTAATATTTTTTCTGCTGTAGCGCCTAAATTCGATTACATAATAAATTTAGCCGGCACAGTTAGATTTTTTCAGCTCCTACGGCTAATTCTTCCTCTGAGTGGATTCCCGAGGCACGGTGACATCGAGAATTTTCAATCGAACGCATTTCTGAATACTTGACGCGTCACACAGAGAAAAATAAGTTGCTGGCGCAGATAAATTGCAAAATCGGTCGGTTATTATATGGACAGTAAAAAAGCATAATGCGCCTGAGTGGAAATTTTCGACGTCACCGCGCCCAGGGAATGGGACTGCATTAACGGATTAACGTCCGTACACTGTCGTTGAAGGGGGGGGGGGGGGGGGAGCATTCCGCCTTACTTCGCGACTCGATTCCGCGGCTATCGCTTTCGTCGGATCGATTCTGCTGCCGAGCTTTACTCATTTTCTTTCGCAATATGGAATTTGTGTTGAGAGTGCAGTGAGAGCAAGGCAAGCAAGGTGAAATCACAAGTACACACGCACACACATACACACACATAAATGTGGAAACGCGAGTGTGAGAGATACATCTCCATGACATCGTGCCAAATAAGAGAGGAGCATGATAGCAGGGCACATGCGAGAGAGCTTCGTGAAGCTTCCGAGTAGATCCGCGACTCAGCGTTAAGGTGGACCGGATTCATCAGACGACTCGGAGTGAGTAACCCGATGGAAGACCTCGTCCTCGCCACCGAAGGGGACAGCTTTCACAAATGGAGGAAAATAATGTCGAGGGATGGCAAAAATTTTATGCTGTAGCAAAGAAATTTTAATATGGGATGTTTCTCAAATATTGTGAAATATTTTGACAAGTTGGTTTTAGAGATCACTTTATGAAGAAATTAACACGTGTTTGTGTGAACTTTCCCTCATGAAATGGCGAAAATTAACTCTTGAGATATTAGACAATACTCGAGAAAGACACTGGTAGATTCATTTGTTTGCTACGACAGCACCGAATTCGCTGAAATATCGGATTAATCTTCTCCGTCGCGTCCGTGAAGCATCACGAGGAATCCTGCCGCTGTGCCTGAACGTTGTGACTCGCGAGTGTTAGGCGGAGAAAAAGGCGGAGAATAAATAAATAAATAAAAAGGGGACGAACGTTCGAGGAAACAATATTGCGGGATATCGTCGCTTTCGGATATGATCTCCAGGTTTTAATCTCGGGGAAGGAGAACGTAATCTCTGCGCGTGATTCTCGGCGCTAAAACGCGGAAAGGCTTCTTCGTGGATCAACGAATCGCCAATTTAATATAGTAAGGGTAGTTTTAGTTCGCGAGCTGCATCACGAACGCGAAAAGGCCGACCTCTCTCTCTCTTTCTCTTCCTCTCTCCCTCTCTCTCTCTGGAAAAAATTGAACAAAAAAAGAGAAACAAAAAAGAAAGAAGGAAAGAAAGGGAAGGGGAAGAAAGGCGATCGATAACAGTGCCAATGATAACGTCTCGAGACTCTCGCGGAAAGCGGTAATACCCTGCAACAACGGTGTCCCGCAGAAATTTCGCCGCGAACAGTCGCGACTTCATCGAGCGACGAATTAATTAAGCACTCGACCGAGTGATTCGTATGATTTACCGAACGCCGCTGCGCGCGCCACTTAGTCTGTTATCATATTTCAATAAATTATAATTAAAAAAAGAAAAACACATATATATATACATATACATATATACACACGATTATGATTTTAACGTCTGTTAAAAATATATTTAAATTCGTTAATCGGATATATTTAATATTGTTAAAAATATTTAAATTATTTATAATTATTGTAATAAAAATTTCTTTATGCTTAGTGGACACGACGATTGTACATATTTCTTGAGACACGCAATTCTCGCACACGTCAAAATTGATTGTGAGTCAGTTTCTAAGCGACGCACACTCGAGACGGACGCGTGTTGCCTCTCGCCGCCCTCGTCTTTCGGTGGATGCGATCTTGCCGACCCTCCTTCAGGCAGAACAAACTTCTGAAAGATGTCTTAAAGACGTCTGAAAGACGTTCTATTTCTTTTTTTCAAAGATATCTTTCAAACGCTTTTAAGAGATCTCTCAGAGATTTGTTCAGACCGCCTGGAGTCGTCTGTTCGTCTCGAACCGTCGAGATACGCGATCATGGCAGCTTCTGCGCGCCACGAAGCAAGAGGAGCCGATCGCGGCATCGCGCGCAAAAGAGGCAACAATGGACACAATGAAGCTATGATACTTTCGAGAGGACTTCGACTCCTCTCGAATCGACACGACTTTCCTTTAGATAAGATGAACGAGTAATCAAAGGCAGCGATGCGCGCGCGCCATCCCGACGAGGGACGGAGTGCCGTTTCTCACAGAGAGAAAGGTTCGGCGATATTCAAAAGTGTAAGAAGCGCAGAGGCCCTGCGAGAGAGAGAGAGAGAGAGGGCAACACGCAAATTTCAAACGACATTCGAAGTATCGAAAGAAAATATTCGTCGGCTCACAGGGCCTCTGCGCTTCTACGGTTCTTCTTCATTTCCTTTTTTCTTTTCTTTTTCCTCATGCATCTCACGAATTCTCGCGTTAGTAGCATAGAGCCGATAAAGCTTTTTCATCGACGACGATGCGCTTTTTATCGGCGAGGACGGGCGGGAAAAGGTCAACAGAAACAAAAAATCCAGACAGCACAGCGCGTCCTGAGGACGTCACCTTGACGACTTGCAACACGTTGATCCCTTTTCGTTTCGGTTACGTCCATGTTACGTTTGTACATAGCGCTATTGTATAAGAGGATCATCTTTAGTAGGAAGGATGGGTTAGAGGTAAGACAGCAATTTTGTGCTAGCTAGGGTTTAGCTAGGTGGACAGGCAACAGTTGGGTGCGAGGAGGAGAGGAGATTAAAAAAAAAGAGATTGATCAAAATTCGAGAGAATAGGTGGCTTCGTCGGAGATCAATCCGTTAAATCCTCGATAGTTCCTTTTTCCTATCTCTATAACGAGGACGGTTACTGCGATTTCATTATGCGGGATGCATGATGAGGGACGCTCGTTCATCACCGTCGACGTATGCGACGCCACCTCATAGTGCATCTCGTATAGATATATTTATATATCCATTCTGCTCTTTCTCTCTCTCTCTCCCTCCCTCTCTTTCTCTCTTTCTAGAAATATATAACTCGTTCATCGAGACAACGGTCGGGGGAGGAGTCGTTTTGTTACTTTAGGGAACACACAGCGCGTCCGCAGAATCGACGTCTGTCTCTGGCCGGAGCAGCGATGAGGAATTAATAAAAATATTAATAAAGAAAACTTTCAATTTTTCCCATGTCCTCGGTTAATTTCGTATTATTCACAACACCGAGTGTTTCAGAACTCGAAGAAACGTCCGAAGTGTGCCCGTTGGAATCAAATTAATCGGGTCTAATTAATCGAAACGAAACGATCAAGTTTATTCAACTCATCAGCAGCTAGTATCTCAGTTTGTGGGGCATTTCTTTTCTGTGTGAGTAAAATCTTTGGATTTCTGATAAAATCATTTGATATATAATTTTATTCGTATGTATTATTTCAGCGTCTTACTCCCAGTTTTGTTCATGCCTTTGGTAAAAATTGGTTGTGCCATTAAACAGGGACCTCTAGGAAATCAACAGACTGATTCTTTAATAAAGAATGTTGATAATATAATTATAGCTTTTAATAAGTCTAGCCTTTAAATGATTAAGCTAGAAAATGTTGGTTTCAACGAAACGCCTCAGGGACAGGCAGGAACTCCGCGGACACACTGTGTCGCTCCGACCGATCCGCGAGAAAGCTGTTGCTCGGCAATTAAAGAGAAACGAAAGAATAGAAGCAGAGTATCGCGACGAGTCGCGCGTCCGACAAGAACCGAATGAATTATTATCGACCGATCGAGCAATCAGCCCGCGCATAGTCATTCTAAAGTCTCAAGGTATCGTTTCAACGTCTATTTATCGGTGCTACCAATGTACTACCATTGTTTTCGCATCTGTGTATGTCTCGATTTTTCAAATAAAATGTTAATTTTACTACATAATGCCCGTGTGTGTGTGTGTGTGTGTGTATGCGTATTTCACTGAGAAATCGCCTCGACGAATCTCCCCACGAAATCCCACTGATGTCGGTCGAGAAGAATTCGGCTCGATTTTCGAGTCACTTTAACACTCACACACGTTGAATATCGACTCCAAACAAAACATATTGAGACAACACAAACGCAATATGTTAAAAATTAACACACGGGAATGCTGAAAATTTAACACAAAAATGTTAACAATGATCAATTTTGACACAAATGCAGAACATGTTTTTTACAGTGCAGCACGCATACATACATACGCACACGAAGGCTTTGAAGAAGCGGGTGAGTTTTTACGAAATTTTTTTGATTTATTTGGCTCTGTACAGATTTGCTACAAATTCATTATTATTAATAATACCATCGTATATTTGTAACGGCGTGGGTAAATGACGCTCGCATCCCGGGTTGGACCTCTCTCTTTTTCACGCCAGTCCCGGAGAGACCGACTCGAGAGCCCGGAACGCCCGTCTTCGTCGTAGCTTTTTAGTCTCTTCTGTTTTTCCTCCCTTTTTGTTACTTCCTCGGATTTCTGGCGTATATATATATATTTTTATATATGTATATCGGTCTATATTCGATTCCCGACGGTCGTTTTATCGACTACATCTCGAGCATAAACGTTCGTTACATAAGCTTTGGAATACCCGTGGACTTAGGTACAGCGGCTTTTACAATAATTTAGTTTTTACGGGAAACCTTGCGGTTAAGCACGTCGGTCGACGAGCGGAGTGATGACACAGCTATTACTTTACTCGCTTACTTCCCCTCCCCTCTCATTTCTGCTCTACTTTTTTTTACATTCGTTATACAAAAATGCGCGATGTCGAAACTTACGTGCCGGAAAAAGAAAAGAAACAACTCCCCCCCCCTCTCTTCGTACACTCCTCCCACCGTCCTTCGTCCTTCGCGCATTAATCCTTAGAAAAAACATCCGATAAATACTGTGTCGTAAATTGGCGAGATAGCTAAGAATATCCTTTTACGTCTAGTTTCCTTACGTCTACGTCGATCTACTGCTGCGCCTTGTCGCTTCCACACACGCGGGTGCGCCAATATCCCTCCGAACGAAGAGCCGACTACTACCGTAATAATGCGCAATCCGTCTCGGAGCTGTGATGTCTCGGATCATTGAGAAGGAGAGAATACAGACGGGAAGCAAAGGGGGACACTCCGGGGAGAAAGAAAGCGAGTTATTGGCGCACCCTGTGTGTAAAAATTTGAACGAAATAATAACGTAAACGTATCCAACGTGGAGCATAATTTATTTTAAAGAACTGAACGAAGTCGCGTGGGGACGCGAAATGAGCGACGCAACAGCTCAGTAAGAAGATGCCGTCGGCGATCGCCCCTCTCTCTCTCTCTCTCTTTCTTTCTCGCGAACACGGAGTATCGGATCGCCCGAATCGAGAGATCGAGTGTGATTCAATTGTGCGGCGCGTTTACTTTGCGCGCGACTTTGTCCAGCTTGAAATAAACCGAAGCTTGAGCTTTAATTTCCTCCGGTCGGGAGTCCCCGGCTTAGCCGACGCACCTTGACGAAGTCGGGCGCATAAACGCGGACAGTGTAGTATTATTATGCTGCATCAGTTTCCGGCTGTGACCTTAGGATTCACGTGAAAATGTACACGCGCCGCTGCCGATGAATCGCTCGCTCGCTCGCTCACGCGCGCGCCACTCAGCCTTCTCACGTTATATTTTTATACACGGTGAAACGTTAAATATAAATGACGGTTACGCGCGTGGAGCTCGATTCAATCGAACGCCGTTAAGAGGATAAAGCGAAGGGCTCGATAGAAAGAATGGAAGAAAAAAAAATTACAATCACCAAAGGAGATTCGAAGCAAAGCTTGTCGTCGCGAATGGAGAAGGAAAAAGAGCAGGAAGATACGTGAATCGCAAAATCGACGTCGCCGGATTCTCCCCGAGAGGGGCTCGACTTCGAGCCAAGTGGATGTGATGGTTCTTAAAAAAAGAAAAACGAAAAGGGGAAAGAAAAAATGGATAAATAAAGAAAAACTGAATGGAAGTGCAGAAATCTCTTGGACTCTTGCGCAGCTCGTTTAGCAGACAAACCCTTCGAACTGTCTGTGCGAATTTTCGCCCAATCGCTCGGCCGCAGTTCTCGCGTTATTATTAATTACTTACAGAAGAAGATTCGCGATACATACAAGAAAATTTACAGACTTCGTCCGGGGAAACCCCGCTGGGTGGCGGGGAAGAAAGAGACAAGCTCCTCTTCGCCGCCGCCCATGAGATTTCACGGCGATACCTTACATAACGATCAATATATATATGTATATGTGTATACATATATATATATATATATATCTGTATAATGTGTATACATATGCGTATTCGGCTTATCTAGGATCGTCGTCGTAGTCGTAATCGTCGTCGTACTTCGCCAATATCGATGCAAAATAAATCACAATCATTTCTCCCCTCCCCGTTACCGTGTCAATTGGCAACTGTGTGCTCCCGTGTCGCGTTAACAACGCGATACGGTTCTATATTTATATTTATGTATATATTTATATATTCTCTCTCTCTCTCTCTCTCTCTCTCTCTCTCTCTCTCTCTCTCTCTCTCTCTCCTCTCCCCTGTCTCTCTTTCTCGCTCGAGTCGAGTTACGTTCTAAAAGTATACGCTAAAAAATATCGATCCTCATCCGCATTTAGTCGCATCGCCGTCGCGTCCTACGTTTAATAGAGTATTTTGGTTTCCCGACATAGGGACTCTACCGCAGGGTGAGCGCTGCAAAAGTGATCCCCTGACTTTCTCGGGTGTCTCTAAATAAAATTGCCAGTCTCCGTTTTATCTCCGTTAAAAAAGAAAAAATTCGTCGTCTGCAGTGATACATGTGTGAAAAATAATCTTACATCGCCCAACAGTGCGTTATACGTGTGAAAACTAAGAGAGAGAATAATTATTATGAAAGTAGAAATTTTATATCTCTCATAAAATTATATAAATATAATATATACACATATAATTATATAAATATATAGTTATAATTATATATATATAATAATTGTAAAAATAATTATATAATATATAATTATAATATATATTATATATCATATATTATATACATATATATAAAATATATATAATATAATTATATATATAAATTGTAATATATATTAAGTAAATATAATTATTGGTTGGCTCTGTAGGGATTCAACAAAAGTAAAAGGGCCAGTAAGAGCTAATCATGTCGGGCGCGGTAATTGCGAAGTTTTAATGACTACGCCTAATACCTAATCTTGTTGCCTGCCATATCTCATCCCGTCTCTCTCTCTCTCTCTCTCTCTCTCTCTCCCTCTTCTGTCATTACATAATTATCACGTAAAAATAATTACTCACGATGAAAATATCCAGACAAACACAGCGCGATAACTTTCGCGCCACCCTGACAATTGTTTATCGCCACCGTCCGACGCCTGCTGGCGCGGCATGGAAGATCGTGGCTCACGGAAACGCGGCGGACAGAGAGAGATCCGCTAAGTTCGAGGACACCTCTGTGTGTATGACCAAGCGAGACGCACGGAAAGACCGCGAGACAGACAGACAGAGCTTGCCCGCATATAAGAGAGAGAGAGAATACCTAAGCCCTGCCTTTTGGTTAAACTCGCGCCGGCGTCCGCAATCTCGACATCTCGTTAACGCGGAACGCTCTTCGTCTAGTGGGGTAAGTAGAGATACTTATGTATATATTATCATTATTATTATTATTATTATTATTATTATTATTATTACTACTACTATTATACTATTATCGTTATTATTCCTCCTTTTTATTATTAACATGGGTGAACGATCGTCGTATACGTCGTACAACATCTCTATGGAATGTGCCGGGAAAAGGAAGTCGCTCTGCCTGGCGAGCGGTGAGCCGATCGAGCCACGACTTCGGCAAAGTTCCGACCGCCCGCTTTCTCCTCTTCACCTCTGTGTGCGCGCGTTAGCATCCCGCTGACAGCTCGAACGACACGCGCCGGTTACAAGTACGAAGTCGTTATCGAATTTCGCAAGATCTACCTGATGCTTCCCCGCTTGATCACGAACCTTACGTCGTCGAAATTTACACGAATGCGACATAAAGAGAAACGATTTCGACAGGGAAACTTGATATAACGCACGCGTCTTCGTGTTTCGGTACGAAATTGTGAGATAATAAAATTATCGTTAACATTAAGATACACACGGCAGTTTCTAAATTAGAACTCCTGAGACGATGGCTGCATGAGCCGGAAATGTCGCCCGCGCGCAGTGGACACTTCCAGGATACGTGTAAGAGAACGGGCAATTGCAGTCGCCGTGTTAAACTGTTTAATTTCGACGGTCGTTCAAACAATACAAATGTCATCGTAATTGCGTCATATGTTTTAGAACCCTGTAAAACTTATATATTTTAACTATTGCCTGAATTAAGATGTATCTTATTTTGTAAAGTAGAAAAAACATGACTCGAAAGACGTATGTTATGTATATATTTTATCGATTTTCGCGTATTATTCTAGCAGAAACTGAAAGATGTGTGTATTTTTTTTTATTAAAATTGATATAATCTAAAGATTAATTAAAGTATATATTTTGCTGAAACAAAGGAATAGTTCAATTCAGAAGTGACGGATCGTAAGCGAAAGATGAAACACTCAATACGTTCTTCAAGAAACTATAACATTTAGCCCTTGTCCATAACCTTGCTTTAAAACAAAAGCAATAAGCAAATCGTCCAATCACAGTCATTTGTTAGAAAAATGATCGATCGTAGTTGGTCAATTTACTTACGGCTTACGTCTTGAAACAAGGCTGTAGACAAGAGCTTGATCCATTCAGTGCCTGTAAATTATGATTTTTATTAATCTCACTTCATTATTTGTACAGGATATTACAACGATAAAAATGTAATCCTTTCGTATTCGATCTTTCCCGTAATTAATATTTTCATTGCGGGGAAATAAGGGGCGAATCCCGAGAACCGTTTCTCTTACATGAATCCTGGACACTTCGAGATACGAGATGGCCGGCGGTGCGCCGGTAAACGCGCGTTCAGCCGCTGTCAAACATTTTTCCTCCGCCTCTTCGAACAGCACCCCGGTTTTCTCCGGGAGCTCGCGAGTGTGTCTCCGTTCGCTGCACTTCGAAACTGTGCCGCGCGATTTGCCGTAACGAAAGCTACGCTACGACCAAATTGGCCGCAATTAGCGCGTCCTCGACAGCGTCCTACGGAAATAGAGAGAGTGAGATTGAAACCGCGCGCGCGTGATACATGTTGAAAACGACGCGTCCGATCGGCTGGCCGATGATCGCGGGCTGACTGACGGGTGAGAGAGATCTAGTCCGGATCTACAATGGACGTAGTAATAAAACTTTAACGACCGTCTACGATAGCCATGAAGTGTGTGGTAAAACGTACAAAGAAAAAAAAAGTAGTCTTAAATGAAGAACGGATATTTTCATATATAAGCAAGAATATCACAATCTTCTTAGAAGCTTCTTAATTTTGAATCGAGTTTAAGTAATATTTTCATCAAAATATAAATCCAATCAGATCGAGACTAAAAGTCTCCTAAGAAGATGATAATATTCTTATTTATACACGAGAATATCTATTCTTGATTTAAGACTTTAATTTTTTTTTCTACGTAAGCAGTAAGCTAATTGAATTCTTACTCAGCCCAAGAATAATCGACCGTGGTTGGTCAACTAGTTCACTGCTTTACGTTTTATTGCATACTTTACGGCTATCGTAAACGGTCCTTCGATCGTTTCGCTCTAAACGCTAACGCAGAATAATGCAATTTTGAGCAAAAAGCATTTCCGGCGCTAGCAGAAGTCGCAATCCTCAAGACTTAAGCGTGATCACGACTCGTGGCAACGCGGGAAACGCTTTTCGCCAGAAGTTACGTTACGTTCTATTGCTTAGAGCGGAAAGCTAAAGGCTTACTACTCTACACCTGTTGTACATCCGGACTCAGGTATAGACGACTCGTGGCTGACGATCCCGTCGATAAAATCGTCGGAACGCAGAGATACCTAGACACGTTGACCGCCATGGCCGTCGATTCACATCGATCGTTTCGATGCACGAATGAAGCTCCAATCACCAAAGGAAAATAAGAGCAATTCGCGATGTAAATATTCCTCAAGACTCGTTTCATTGGCTGTACATTCGGTCTGTAACGTGTGTAAATGGTAACACGTTTTATTCATGAATCAGCAAGACGCGCTGCAGCGTTACAGAGAGAGAGAGAGAGAGAGAGAGAAAGCCGGTCATTGACGACCCCATGACAGTCAACGTGTTAACGAATGATACATCACACCTCGACAGATCGAATATATGTATATATTTGTTTCTCTTCACTCTCCTTTTCGGGGCTTAAATATTTTTTGCTTTCTGTCGATAAAAAGAAATTTCTCAGGGAATCGACGAACCGATAACGAGAAAGCGATGTAATTCCTCTTAGGTTGTTCCCGCGTATTTAATGCAACATGGCGATGATAGGGAGGAACGAATGTAAAAAGACTGAACGACAGATTGTCTTTGTTTGCGCATTTGGTGTGTGTGTGTGTGTGTGTGTGTGTGTGTGTGTGTGTGTGAGCAACTAATAAATTAATCTATAAGATCGTATCCTTACGACGTGCGTCCCCCGCGACAAGCGATCTTCGTTGAGAGCCGTGCCTGCGCACCGGGGATTCGCTCGATTCCAGTCCCGAGGAGAGTTCCGGACTCGCTCGATCTAACGTGAGTTCGAGAAGCTAATGTCCTCGCGGAACGTCCTCGGAGACGGAGTAGCTCGGCTGCGACACGAGAGAATCGAGGGAATCGCGTCAGCCATTTCCCTAGGAGGCAGTGGCGGCGGCGGTGGCGGCGGATGGCAGAGAGTTGGGTCACGCCAGATTGCTCTCCTGTTCGCCCCATCCCTCGCTGTCGCACTCGCTCTCCGAGGCTGAGTCGCTGTCGCTGAACTCGACGGCGACGCGGCGCGCCAGGATGGAAGCGACGTCGTTCAGCGCGTTCACGCGTTCCACTTCCTTCTGCTCGATCTTCTCCACCTTGCGCAACTTGATGCCTGAAGGATCGTGGAGAAACGGCGGGTGAGAAAACGAGGAGCCGACTACACCGAGACGAGGCAGTGACTTGAACTTATCAGCGGCGTCGGTACTTCATTTACGGGGGGTTTTTTTTTTCTTTCTTATCCAATGAAATCGGCTAATATATTAATATATTATTAATAATTGTATTAATTTGTTAGCAACTGATATATTAATAGTTGAATTTATTATATTAATATATAATGTTATTTTTACGTTCGCAGCATGGAATTACCAGTTAATCTGTGCCTTTGGTAAAAGATAGCCTTAACGCTAACCCGAAATTTTTACACCGAATAAAGCGTTTAGCATTCTTGTGTGCATGAGAATATCTAAAAAAAAACTATATATAGTAAAATAATTATAGCCGGATAGAATACATCTTTATAATAGGCGCCGCTATAGCGCCAGTGAGAAGAACTTTACATGCATTTGCTGCTACTTTCCTGTTAGAAAGTAAAATAAACGCCGTTCACACATAATTTTAGCAGAATAAGCGTTTCTCCCACCAATGATGTAAGGGGCAAACGGACCGATTCTTGAAAACGTTTGTGAGGAATAACTGTGGCCTTTAACGATAAAGAAGACACATCTCGCTTCTTCGCGATCTCATTGAGAGCTCACCGTCGCGAATCGCCTTTAGCAGGTCGTTCCGCGGGTCGACCAACGGGATGTTCGGGTTTACGGGTTTCCTCAGCTGACCATCCGCCACGATGTTCTTCAGGGGCTTCAGCTTCGGCGGATTGGTCGCGATCATCTTCGCAATGTCGCCGTTCGTCAGCGGCGCCACTACGGGCCCGTTGGCGACCGGTGGCGGCGGCGGGGGCGGTGGTGGCGGCGGGATGTTGCACGGAGGTGAGATGGGCCTCGGTGGAGTGGGGTCAGGAGTGGGCGGTGGCGGCGGAAGGTCCTGGGGTGCCGGATCTGTCTCGTCCGTGCCCAGCTGACCCGAGTGGTTCGGTGGCGTCGGCGTGGAGCGTCGGCTCGGCAAGGGACTGTCCGACCGACTGCCGTTTCTGTTCAGCAAGTGCGACGGTATGGAACCTGCAACGCATTCGTAGAGATTATTATTCGTTATATAGAAATAATTACGTGTAGAATATGGTAAATATTCATGTAAAATATTATTTTAAAATTATGTATCATGAAGTATGATAACCAAATGAAGAGATAGATAAATAGTAAATAAATATAAGACTTTATAAGTACAGTGAGAGCGGAACAATATATAGTTGTTAAAAATCGAGCCGATTACATTGCAACTGGAGATAACATTAAAATATAATTAGTAAAAGATCTACCGTTCATGGAAGGTGGAGACATGGTCTCTCCGGGCGGCGGGGGTGGCGGCGGCAACGTATCCCTGCCGGTGCTCATGGATCTTCCCCTCGTGGGGGTATTATTGGCGGAGGCTACCGTGGGCGTAGAGTTGCTGGAAGCGTTACTCGGCGGTGCTGGCGGTGGCTGCGACGGCCGCGATCTGCCACCCCTGCTTGGCGTGCTCTGACCACCGGGACTCTGGTACGTCTCGCTACCAGCTGGCACCTGACCCGGCGCGTAATGTGAGCCGTACAGGTTCTCGTCGTAGCCCTGAGCCACGTAGTTTGTCGCCCTATTGCGAGAAAATCGTGGATCCGATGTAACAACATGAGATCGTGGAAATCTTGGGGAATACAATTAGCTGGTTAAATCCAAACATGATTAATTAATGTTAATAATTAATATTAACGATTAACTAAGCATCATTAATAATGTTAATTGTAGTGTAATTATGGCCCCGATCATAACACGGTATCTACAATTATATCATATTATTATAAAATATGATAAATGTCATGATAATTAATTATATTATTATCATAACAGTCATAGTGCGTGTATTATTGCTATATTATACTGGTAAGTATCACAATAAATAATAATAACACGATGACTATCATGACAATGCCGTAATTATGCTCTAATAACATGTTCCAATAACAATAATAATATACTATACGTATAATATATATTTTTGTACAGCGATCTTCTCACCTGTAGTGATCGGAAGACGGAGGGCTGTAGAGGTGCTGTCCCTCCGGCGGGTAGCTCCGTTGCAGCTCGATGCTGTTGGGCCTCGGTGGCCGCGGTTCCGCCATCACCATGCCCAACAGCGCATCATCGGGCACGTTGTGCGGCGCTCTGTACTGGATGCCCTGGGTCGGCATGATGTATTCGCCATGACCGACGGCCAACTGCCGTTGCCGTTCCCTCGTGTTGTGAGGTTGCCTCACACGCTTCTTGTGTCTGCCACCTCCACCGCCGCCTTCCTCGTTCCGAGGCCTGTGCGGCTGTGTGTCGCAGAAGAGAGCGAATTAGAACGTGTCGCGCGCAGCGGGAAGAACGAACAAGGTGCATCGCATATGTAAGTCAAGCACAATCGGTTTCTCTCAGTCAAGAACGTCCCGACGATTGATCCAGTTACGCCGGTGATCGACAGATGCAACGGTTCGAGCGCCGAATTCTGATCAAGGGTGAGGGCCGAATTGTATCTTTGCGCGCCGGCGAGACTCCCAGGACAACACCGTCCTGCGGCTTTCCGACGGATCAGACTCGACTGGATCAATAGTTCAAATGGGATGAAAATATGTATATGTATATGTGTGTGTGTGTGTGTGTGTGTGTGTGTGTGTGTGTGTGTGTGTGTGTGTGTGTGTGTGTGTGTGTGTGTGTGTGTGTGTGTGTGTGTGTGTGTGTGGGAAATAAAAGTGATGCGCTTAGAGATCGTGTCGATTTCGATGCAAGATACGACGGAGGTCGTCATAAAGAGAAGGGAAAACTCGAATAATTTCGATATTCACTTATGGCGGGCACTTTTATTTCCTACGCGACGAACGTGACAAGATGGAGATGAGATATATATTCCTGAAATGTGTGGATGATGAAGACGATCGAGATTATGAGGATAGTCGGTATCGGTATCGCAGATGGCTTGGTGGATGATGAATATATATATATATATATATATATATACATATATATATATATATATGGCGCAGTTCTATATGTAATAAGTACATTCAAAACTTGCATGACTGGCAACGAACGGCATTACACAAGTGATCCACAGAGTGAGACGGTGGGAGGTGTAAGAGACTTGTTTCATATTTTCAAAAGAAACACAACTCAATTTACAGTGGCTGAGGGGGGAGGGGAGAGAAAGAGAGAGGGGGACTTCGAGATCGGGCCGTGCGTAGGTTGAGCGTCGCGGTTGAACTCTTCCTGCCGAGAACTCGCGCTCGGTCGGGAAGCGACGCGGTTCTCGCGCCGTTCGATCTACGCATCGCACTGCGAACGTGGAGTGTGTGTCCCCGCTGAGAAAAGAGTGGTCAGCGTAACTACGTAACTTTGAGAAAGCGAGCATCTATAGCGTCAGTCTCTATGTCAGCGCAAAACGGTCGGTTAATGAAAGAAAAACCATAAACAGAGAAAGAGAGAAAAAGAAAGAGTAAGAGAGAGAGAGAGAAAGAGCATTAATTATAATACGATGTGAGTGCGATGAGTTTGGACGATCGGTCGATTCACTGAGAGAGAAAGTGAGTGAGTGAGTGAAAGAAAGAAAGAAAGAAAGAGAGAGAGAGAGAGGATGTTTTCATAGGAGGATGTAAAAGAGAGAAAAACTACAAAGATCCAAACCATCGACTTGCCTCTCTGAACGGTTCGGCATATTCAGACTCGCTCTACAACGAAGGGGATATAGTTTCAGTAGTTAGAATCGTAGCAGATCAGACGTTATTTTATATCATCAGATCGACTAGTTCAGTTCTACGAGCTAGTGCGCACCCCGACGGCTGCGAGGGAAGCCGAAGGAGAAATTTATACCGGTATTCATACTCAGATCTTATGATATTCTTTGGTTTTCACGGTGTGAGTGAATACTTAATTTGGTTCCTGAGGTAATACAGTCAGGTCGTCCCTCAGTCTAAACAAGTGGACTGGAATGTTTACGAAACGTCGGAAACAAATCCATGAAGGACGCGGCGCTAACTCGGAAGCCAGATTAAGTCAACTATAGTTAAAAAAAAAATGCAAGTAAATGTAGAAAGTTTTAATCGAGCACACGTGATTTTTTCTAAATAAATTTTTTCTTGGAAAAGAAAAAAAAAATCCATGGAAAAATTGAAAGAATAAGAGCTTTTTTCCGAACCTTCAAAACTATAAGCCAGATCTAATTTAAGATCACCTCAAGTTCATCTTCGGATGCTTTGTAGCCAACGAAACGATCCGTACAGCATTCGAAGATGAACTTGAGACGATCTTAAATACAAGGTCCGACTGTGAATACCGCCTTTAGAACACGACTGATTCTCATCGACCGGCTTCGAAACACGACAGACGTATCGTGAAAGCTTCGCAACAGTCGTGTGCGAAGCTTCGCAGTCGTCGATGTGCGCCTTTGAATACGTTATCCAGCGAGGGCTCTCACCTTCTTTCCCCGGTCGTGCAGCTTCTTCTCCGTGTCTTTGAGCATCTCCTGACTCCACAGATCGAAGAAATAATTCGGGTCGGTGTAGAACTTCAGACCGTCCTTACCGTCCTCCCTGAAAACCAGAAGACAATTTCGAGCGTCGAGGGTCTACCCGGGAACTCACGGAGATCGATCGACGAGAAGTTTCAACCGTGTCAGCTGTAATCACCTGTAAATATTCAGCTTATCCAGCGGCGGCGGCGTGTCGCACTGGTGATACGTCTCCAGCATCGCCGTTGGCATCGTGTCCCTGGAGACGACTTGTTGGTCGAACACCACGGAGCTCTTGAACGCCTTCCTCATGTGTATGTCTTGCAACGAGACTGCGCAGAGAAGGGAAACGAAGCCGGATGTTATTCATTACTTCCTCGCCTAATTTCTCATCCGCATCATTTTTGTAATCGCAAGAAACATCACATAAAGAATATTAATACTTTTCTTATCGTACTCTCTATTATTCACTAATAAAATGATGCAATCGTCATTAAACCCGGACGTTTCGNTATATATATATATATATATATATATATATATATATATTATTTTATATATATATATATATATATATATATATATATATATATATACATGTTTTTTCCTTCTTTTTATCACACACATACCTTCCTCGACGTTACTATCTAGCTGAGTGACTTTGACAGCCAAACGGTCTATCCTAGCTTGTAGTGAATTGGCCCGGTCGCTCAGCCCGTGAGCCTCCCTCGCCAGCTCGCCGAACAGATCTTCGGCGTGCCTAGACAAGCTGGACAGTTGTCTGATAGTGTTGGCCAAGGTGCCATTGGTGGCAGCCTCTAACTCCGACGGCAACGGGAAGTCGTCGGGGATGGTACCGCGTGCCACGTGCACGGGCTCCACCAGTCTTTTCGGAAGCGGCATCCTCGGCTCGGCTGCTCGCTCCGCCTGGCTCCTCGCGAAAGCTCACTCACCGTTCTCTCGAGACCTGAAACCGAAGAAGGGTATTGTCAGTCGTCGATGAGGTCGGGCTCTGTGTAGGGCCGGCTATCGGCTTCACAATCGTAAGCACTCTCCCTCTTTCTCGATTCGGTCTCTTGTTCCAGCCAAGAATACCGTTCGATCAATTAATAGGAAACGCAACAAGTTGCTGCTGAGGAATTCACAAGCCTCATTTGATAGAATTGATATATATATACATATCTAATTAATAAACGAAGATATATGTAAATAACGAAGATAAGTGACTGTATCTAATTAATGAATTAATCAAATCACAGGTTATCGCACATTTCGCGACACCGTCTCTTTCGCACCCTGCAAATTAATCAGGAACAATAACCATCAATTTCAAATCGATTTCACCTCTCATAGTGAAAGGAATGTAGGTCTCGTTCGCTGAATATATGTTATGTAGAAATCTATCGATATCTAGCCGATGCAAATGACTGTATCTATTAATTAGAACCAATACATTGCTATGTCCAAATAATTTAACACAGGAGGCGTACTGTCGTGTATTCGCAATTTCGGCAACTTTGCAAAATTCAGGCAAATTCTCGGGCCCCGTCGAGTCACCTTGAAGTGTGAAACTCCCAGTTTCACAGCGAGCACCGGCGCTGCTCGAGAGACGACGATTCGTCTCGGACGTAATTAGACAGCGCTCGACAAGTGCAAAATCGCCGCCGCTCTCCGTGGCAGTGAGAGTCGTCCGAGGAGCACCGCTAACGAAATGAATATTCGATCCACCCGACGACAATCCTTTGATCCGAAGACACTCGAGGGGACTCCTCCAATACACAGCGCAAACAAGAAGGGAGAGAACGAACGAGCGGGTAGCCAGACGAATCTCGCGAACGAGCAAACTCCGATTCGCCACAAGCGTCGCGGATTTGCATGGGTGTTTTATCCCGAAGTCACATCGCGTTTCTTCCCGTTGCTTTTTGCCTCGTCGAGTGAGAGAGAGAGAGAGAGACAGAATTTTACTTGTTTCCGATAACCCTATTTGGCACTTAGACAAGTTACACAGAAAAAAATGCTAGAGATTCAAGCGAATAATTGCTTCAAATAAAAAAAATTATTCCTTAGCAAATTTTTATTTAGATCAAATAAACTCTACTTGCGAGCCAAGTGAATATCACTTGAATGTAGAAAAAGGCGCTGCATTCAAGTAATATTTATTTAATCCAAGTAAAAGTCTGCTAAGAAATATTGGAGTAATTATTTAATTGAATCTAGCATTTTTTTCCTATGTACATATTACAAACAGCACTGATGCAAATAATCGTAAAAAGTATAATATCATTTTCTACGATGGCGCAATGAGAGTTAGTAAATGTAAACATAAAGGGGTGATACATTGCAGGCGTTATATCATAGATTAAATGGCGAGAGAAAAGGAAAATTAATAATTTTAATGATAATAATAAATTACCTCTGTTTGCTATATGTTAATACAGAGAGAGAGAGAGAGAGAGAATGTTGTAAAATGCTGTCGCATACGCAGGGCGCTCAGCGAACACGCGAACACGCACATTACGCAATTACGCGTGCCGAGCGTCATACTGTGATAACGATAACATCTTATCGCGACCGACTGCCATCAGCAAACGCGCGGGACGAGCGTGCACTTGTACCGTTCAGTCAGTTTTTTTTTTCTTTCTTTTCTTCCTCGCAGCTACAATTGTGTATTATTATACAATTGACATTATCGCGATGATCGAACACAACGACATCGGTGATTGCGCGAGCGAATTGCATCGCGATGACAAATCGCGGAAAATTATGCCCGATTGACGCGGCTGCTATTTCGAACGTTTAACGTTGATTTGATATGCCGCATTGAGGAACTCGGCGAGATTCGCCTGCTGATACATTGTTATAACAACTGATCCATGAGTTACATCCAAGTAGAACTTATTCTATAGGGTGTCTCACAGACCCCGCGTCTTTAATTTCACCGATGAGCAAATTTCACTCGGGGCAATTTAGAATTAATTTTTCCCTTTAAGTATACTCCCTCTTCTCGACGATCTGACTCTAATATTTTTATACGTAAAATGAATAGAAGAATCGACTCGTATTAAAAAATTATATGATTCCATCTTGGAAAATTAAGTTGACTTTTATCTCACCTTGACGCCTCCATCTAAAGTCAATTTCTTTTTAGCGAAATTTGTCCCCCTCCAAACAATACAACCTAAAAAAATCCGGACCTCGATATTTCACTTAGTTTTCGAGATGTTCCGTCTGTTACGTTCGAAATTTAACATCTTGTATATAATGTATATATAATACATGATATATTATATAACGAATTTTTTTTATAGATGCAAAAGATGTATCGTTACATAATTTCAATTTGCACGACCATAAAATCGAAGAGAATTCGGGCTTTCTTCGTCGGAATTAAAGCGACACGCGACGATCAACCTGTGTGCAAAAACAGCCGTCAGCAGACGGTCGTCTTCAGCAGTCATTTCAGCCGTCGGTCAGGGTCAATGATACGGCCGTAATCAAACACGGTGACTTCGACAATGACGACGACAAAGTCGACGTGCGTAACGTACTATTGTTGCTATCTAATTAGCAATTAGCCGCCGCAAAATGAACGGAGCAGCAGTTTCCTTGCCGGATGTTACACCTGCAAAGAGGACCGTGAAAAGCTCTCGGCGCTAATAATAATCTCTTCCTCTTTCTCTGCGTCTCTCCCGTTCTCTCCTCGGAGGAAATTGTACTTGAACTCGTGACGCACCCATTTCGCGTCTCGTGTTCTATTCTTCTCCGCGCATCGGACGTTTACCTTGTGTTATACAATGTTATACAATGAAAGAAGGATTTGGTAATATATCTACATAATACAAATATAAACGAAAATATGACATAAATAAATATAAATTGAATAAATTATATAAATATATAGATATATGTTGACTATATATATGTAATATAATCGTATATGTCGATTTTTTATAAGTACAAAAATATGAATAAATATATGATATAAATAAACGTAAACTCTGAATATAGAAGTTGATTCGTCGTTTCTCGTGAGCTTTCCGGAAAATTGCACGCGTTTCCGTCCTCGATAATTGTCTGTTGAATTGTTGCGTTAAATAATCCAGAAAGGGTGTTTGCGATACCGCCGGAACATATCACGCATGTTGTTTCGCGCTTTCGTTATGCAATTTTTATTATTACACCCCGGTGCTCTCGATTCGACGATAGTCGCGAGAGATGAGCCGCACACTCGTTTTATTACCGCGGATGCCGCAATCCCGCCCGCCGCCTCCGACGGCTGAATGACCCACGCTCGATCGCGTGGGAGTTGAAATGAAATACAGATACACGCTGACGGCGTGGCGAAGGGCTGAGGGCTGCGGTGGCCATGGTGACTCACGTCGTGTGCCCCATATGGTCGATCGAGCTGTCCCGTGAGATTCTCCGGGATCGATCGCCGCGCCCGATTCGACTTTGCACTGCAATTAACGGCGGCAGTGTGCTCGCGCGGATTTTATGTTGCAAAGTAACAGTAGATAGTAAATTAGCGGTATCATCTAAAAGTACATCGGGATACATAAAATGTCCCATTCCCATCTTCTATATCCACCATCGATGAATAATAGAATTATAAGAAGAGAGATATATAAATATCTGCACTCGATCAAGTGAGCCCCGCGTGTTCAAGCGCTCTTTATTCGCGCCGAACGTGAATCACGATAGCCGGCCGGATGTAAACATCGATACTCTGTTGAATCAAAGTATCGGTGTTAACAGGAATCGAGCGCGACTCGAAGCGTGCTCGTTGTGAATGAAACCGCAGCCACGCCGTCGTGTACTGCGGGCTTGCATAAGGTAAGCAGTATCCTGAGGCTGAAAGGTCACTACTACGCTGCAACGCTGGAGTACTCGATGATGCTGCTGCTGCTACTGCTACTACTACTACTATGAGCAATACTACTACCACTGTTTCTCGGCGAGTGGAAACCGGAAAGGCTCACTCCACTCCTTGCAACGTCGTCCGCGTTGCACCTATTTCAGATTGCGTTCAACCGCGTCCAAGTGCATCTGCAGGAACGCGAAGGATGCCGCGATACCGCCGATAATCGCGTTAACTGAATTCCTCATCAGTTCTTGTTCGAGACGTTTATAGGGATAGCGATACGATAAATTCCTGGGGAATCTTTCACCGGCCATTCAAAATATTTCCGTTCCTCGAAGGAATGTAACGAAGCGTCGCGTAGAACCGATATCGGTGATCTTTATCGAGGATTTTAGCCCCCCGCCGTCCCATTTATCGACACCGATCCATCTCGACATCGCATTTTTTCCAGCGCGCTCTTCTATACATTAATTTTTTCATACATCAGTACGATATATTCAATATAAATATATATTGTATATGTTATATAAACACGTAAAGAAATTAATTTTAACAATTAACTCATACATGTATTTTTTATTATGAATTTAATTATATTACTAAATTATTATATGAGTCTATTAATTATATTATTATAAAATTTATCGTGTGCATTTAATTGTAATGATTAATTTGCACTTAAATTAATAATAAATTGATTCGTCGTTACAACGGTTGGATATTGAAATACCGTAGAATGAAACGCGAAGTTACGCGTCGCAAACGAACTAACTGAACCTTTTACGTGGTCGAAGAGAAACGGAATCGAAGGTGACTCGCGCGCGCGGTGTTAATCTCCCGGATTCATCGCGTTGCCGTAGGTTCGACCGAACGAAGAGTGATTTGCTACGATTTCGCTCCGGCGACTCGCCGACTCGCCGTGAGTCATGCGTAACCTTTGGAGCAACCGCGGTCTCGCCTAATCCTACGTGCAATATGATACGAGTTAAAGTGCGTTCACAATGCCGAGGAGACGACGCAGCAGGACGGACCCGCGCGAGGCCTCCTTAGCGCGCTCCGCGACGAACTGGATCTAACGTGGTCTTTTTCCTCGACTTCAAAAATCC